TTCACCATTAAAACAACTTTGGAAGATCGATTACAATAATTGCATACCCGTTTTTTCCAAGCCGAACATTTTTATTTGGGTTCTAAGTCTTTCGTTTATTCAATCTGGCATCTCTGAGCCGTTATGTAAGGCTTTCATGAGCACACGGTGCTACGAAGACAGTTCCAAGGCATCCAGTCATCGACTTTCCTTTATAAAGGCGTGCGATGAAAAGGAGTAGCTAAAAATATCTGAAAGCCCGAAATCCAATCATTATCAGTAGCAATCGGCAGGACGGAGTAGACACACTAACCAGCTTGGTAGGGCTCAAGGTCTATTGAAAACCTCTGCCTTATTTTGGGCCTGGCACCCGATTGCAATGCAAATCCACATCTACTTAAATAGCCAGCACAAGAGAGATAGATATATCCTCGCGTGGGTGTTACGTAAACCGCAATAAAAACTCCCGTGAAGGTCCGTAGCACGCGAACTGGTTAGAGCGCGCTCAAATGCTCTTCCTGCTAAACTACTATCAATGTAGCTTCCATACTGTCCTGGACTATAGACCGGGGGCAGCCCCCTAACACACGAATGCCTAACTCACACGACGTTGAGAGGTCATTTCCTATACTGTCTTAAAACACCCCCCCGGAAATACATACACTCTACATGTCGAAATTCCAACTTATGGAGACCACTCTACTCACATCCAAGTATTCATCAGTCCAACTCATGGCTGCACGGCGAAGACCCCTAATATATCCTACATCTGTATTGTCATCCGATACTCCGCCAAAACGTGGACTTAGTGCTCTGTGACAACCCCACAAATGCAAATGCACTAACTGGGACCCATGTTTCGCCTGTAAAAGAAAACGGAACCTCAGATACTCCACAAAAAGGCACACACAAGGAGTCTTCGTGACCTGGAATCCATCAAATTTTTTAATTAAAGAGACATTTTTCATTCAATCAACATTCATATTCCTTCGCTAATCCCTTGCCTGAGACTTAAATTAATAGAAATTCTATTCAGAAAAAAATGTATGTGATGGCCATTACATATATACTAATATCTCTGATTTCTCTCATTTCAGGTTTACATTGCCGAAACAGCTGAGCCCAATTTGCGTAGCATTCTTATTGGTGCACCCTACGTCTCCTACTCTCTAGGTGTGCTCATTGTTTATTCACTCGGCTCAGTGTTGCATTGGCGTCACGTGGCATGGTGTGCCAACATACTCCCAATCTTCGCTGCAATCGCTATATTCTGTATACCTGAAACACCTGCTTGGCTAGTGAGAAACAATAAACTCGCAAAGGCGCATCAGGCGCTTACTTTTCTGCGTGGCAGCGAGATTGTCGCACATAACGAGATCAACGATATGAATGAGAGACTGAATAAGGAACGTGCCAACACAAATACCAACGAGAACATCTTTCAGCTGTGCACCGAACGCTGTGCCATCAAACCGCTTGTCATTGTCATCACATTCTCAATGCTGCAAATGCTATCCGGTTCATTTATAGTTATCTTCTATGCGATCGATATTATTGCTGACTTTGGCGCCGATGTTGATACGAAATCCGCTGCAATTTGGACTGCAGTGGTGCGCACCTTCTGTTCAATCATCTTTTGCGTAGTTTTACTATTCGTGCAACGTCGACGCATTCTAACAATCTCGAGTATCGGCTCGGGTCTGAGCTGCTTGGTATTGAGTGTGTATATGTATATGCACGTAGGGCTGGCGAAGGCTGCCACAGATGTGCTCGTAGCGGCAGTCTGTCTCTTCACCTACATTGCCTGCAATACGCCATTGATGGTAATGCCGGGCATAATGATCGGTGAACTCTTTCCTGCGCGCATACGAGGACGTACGGCCGGTGGAGTTTTTGCCGCTATGAACGTCAGCCTCTTCGGGTTGACAAAAGTATTTCCACTCGTGCAATCCATTATAAAAATGCGTGGCGTTTTTATGATATTTGCAATCTCTAGCCTAGCGGTAACGATTTTCATGTGGTTGTTCCAGCCTGAAACCAAAGGTCGCTCACTGGATCAAATTGAGGATTACTTCAATGAGAACAACTGGTTGTGGTTTAAGCGAGATAAGCGATACAAGCAAGTGGCTTTGGACGAGAAAGCAGCGAAGGCTGCGATGAAGGCTGGCGCGATAAAAGCTTAGAAGGGAGGGTTATAAGTAGACTAATAAAAAATATACGTAAATATTTAGTAATTGTTTAAAAGTAGTGAACTAGCAGTAGCTCAATAGCGAGTAGTGATAAAACGCAGCCAGCTGCAGTATATTCGCAAAAAAAGAGTTATAGATATTTGCAGTGAACGAAAAACTTAAAATAAACCTTACTAATTTTTAAATATTTGTGGTAAAATAGGTATACAACAAGTTATTCTTAAGCAAAAAAACAAAACCGACTTCAATTCTCATATAAAAATTCAAGACTACCGTTAATTTCTTTGTGATCGAAATTAGTATGGGACTACCTGTGAGGTAACACAGGTTAACGTGATCCAAAGTTATGTGGTAACATACATAAAAAAAAAAACAAAAATATATTCCGACGAATTGATGACCTACTCCTTTTTGAAGTCGGGTAAAAAAAGGCCGGGAACGTAATGTACATATATGTGTATATAAAAAATTGTAGTTTTAAAAATATTATTTGCATACTAAAGGGCTAAATATGATTTCCGAAAATGAAACAAACTGTGACAGCGATCTGCATTTAAATTCTTTCTTCTGAAGTCTTATTCAAAAAATAAAAAATAAAATAAATACTTATTATCTCAAAAATATTTAAGCTATTTCTTAAGTCACTCAATTACCTCGTAAATCTTGCATTCTGCGTCGTTCTATTAGACGTTTTAGAGTTAGTAACAGATTCATAGGTTTTAAGATTTTCTAAGTCTTCCTTAATCGTAACTGTTTAGTTTTAATATTTTCTGTATATTACTGAAGCTTTAATAAAAAAATATACAAACAAATATTACGTACGTATAGACGTTTTTCTTTTCTCACAAGTTGCGCATAAAAATCTCTCATAAAACATTTGAAAATTAAAAATATTAAAAAAAAACATTACATAACATAAATAATTGCTATCAAAAAGAACTGCATCACCCAAGTGAGGTCCATCTGACCAGTAATAAAAAAGGCAAAAATAGTTACCTCAAAACCAAATTCTACATACATAAGAATGTAGGAGAACGGAAATTGATTCCGATATACATAAAATTAAAAAAATAATAATTTTTAAAAAACTAAAAACTCGCTTTTATAATATCCATTCGTACTGTCATCAGGTTACCGCTAGGCGCATCAATATTATATCGTTACATCCCAAGCTAATAAAAGCGAGGTTATAAAGCTTTTTTCACAAAACCATAGATCCGTCGGATAAGCCCAGAGAAAAGCGTAGCTGGCCTCAAACTATACAAATGCGATACAATTGTTTAGCGGCTTCTATATTACATATGACAGAGGTGAGATAGGACGTCCCAACGTTGGCGTTGTCTCGCTAACCCTATAGTGTCTGCTAGGTGACTCATTTTTAACGGATGATTGTACATGCTTTTGGATAACATATATTGCGCACCTCTAAGGATCACCGGAATGCAGCACAGCTTATACGCGAGTCGATTTGGATGGGTTAGTGAAAATAAATATATGTTGTAACTAACATGACATGGNAGCTTATACGCGAGTCGATTTGGATGGGTTAGTGAAAATAAATATATGTTAGTTTCACCGACATGACTCTCGCATGCCTCTGAATGACTCAACTGTGTCAACACGTACACAGATGTCTCGCGAGTCAGACGCACCGTCTATGGAGCCCGTTAGACACGTTAATTATGTAAATTATCTACGAAGTTTTCTAGACCCAAAACTAACGCAGAGGCTGAAGGTAAACCGAGCGTACAAATTTTGAAGAAAATTCCGCGAAACCTCTGCAGTTAGATTCTAGAAATCGCCACGCTAAATTTGTATCGAAACATCCCACAATGGTTATGATTTTACTACATTGAACCCCTTCAGCTTTCTCGTTGCATATTTTTAGGCCCATATCTTATTTATTTAGAAATTTCACTGAAGTCCAGGCGGCAGAAATTTTGTGTGGCGATTTCTAGAATCCCACTGCTAGATTCAGAAACCAGCTGTGGTACTTTGGGTATAATTGGATTTAATCAGCAGACATCTGAATAGATAAAAGTACTTGGATAAATGTCAGTGCAGTATTCATTGCAACCTTCCATAAATAATGAAGTTATGCCAAAAGTTTTCTTCAGGAAGATAAACACCTTAATTTTTCCATCTGTCCAAACTGTCTTCGAAAATTTAAAGACATTGACGAAGACAATGAGAGAAGTGTGAATATATAAGTAAAAAAGTGCGAATATACATATTGCTATTGCATCTGCAAAATTGAGTTGTGTAAACCCCAAGTACGCGGTCATAAAGAACAGCTGATTTTTGTTTGCAGACGCAACGTTCTTTACGTCACATCAGTTTCATCCTTGAGCGTCCCGTACGCATAGTACTCTATCTGGCAGGGCTAAAAGTCAACATACACCTCCGATGGTCGGAACAATTAGGGCTACAAAATCGTTCCATCTAACACCTGGAAACTGTTTACAAATAAGTTACTAATTAGTTTTATTTTCTCAGACAGTCGGGCTCGATTAGGGTGCTGCTGTAACCTCCGGTAGCCACTTCGACCTTGCCTAACCTAGCGCACCAACTTTTCGAATGCATATGAACTTACTGACGAGCTGCACACACAGTTTACAGGGTTCTTAAGTAATGCTGTAAAAAATGTTTGACTTCGTTTGACAAATGTGAGTCAAGTTTTTCTAATTTTTTTTTTCATTTTCCCGATCGCGTTGTAAGAATAGAAATTTCGTTTGTAATTTTTTTATAATCTTATATTTTTTCTCACTTTCGTAATTTTTGCCCGGACATATTTTTGAAATTCTCTTATATGCGAAATTATCGTTGCAGAAAATGTTGAGCGAAAAGAAAGACAAAGATTTTTTAAGCCAATTTATAGCCAAAAAAGATGTGCCCTCCTGGTTTCGCGGCACATCTCCATTCCAAATTGAAGCAGCCGATCAGCTTTCTACCTCGATACGAGATGATATTGAACAGGAAACATGCCATCGGGTGTGTCATTGCTTAACCCGGCTCGGTTTGGTGCCAAGTGTGCCCCATAGGGACTTAAAAATTCTCATGAAGCTGAGTGGTGGTAATGATTTAGCCTTTTTATGGTTTCTCATGGAGCTATATTACAAGACACCAGGAGACAAATATAACAGCCTCAATGAACAAGTAATACTCTCGTCGATAGCGCATCTTGATATGGTAACAACATTGCGTGAATTGGATCGTATTTTACCGCCGGGTCATGCGTCGAAGCGACAATTGGAACAGCGACGGAAGCGGCTACAAAGAAATAAAAGTTGGCACATGCTACCGCATGAGAACCCTAAGAAGCAATCGTCTTCGCCCTACTTTGATCGATTAGAACGGCCAGTGCCATATGGTAAACCGCTGGATCTAGAAAGACCAGATTATAAGGTACGATTCTTTCGTTATGACATCTATAAGGACCCAAATTATATGCCGCCAAATGAGCAGAATCGTTGGTATGCTAACTATTTTTTGAATAAAGCCAAACGTATTTCGACAAAAACAGTACGCGATTACCTCAATGAACTTATGGAAGTTATCGGCCTTCTTCCGTCTACCATAGAGGATGCTACTACCTTTATAGATTTGGCATTAGAGGGGATGACAGACTTAAAACATGGCAGAACTTTATGTAAGAAGCATGAATTAGAAGAGGAAGAACGTCGTTTTAGGCGTGAGCAGCAGGCTGTAGAACATCGGCAAAAATGCTTAAAAAGTCTGGAAATTTTCCCTAAACAAAAACAGGTAGGTAAATATGCATAGATATTATATTAGTATGGGGGTTTGAGATACCCTTTATAGTGATGCTTCAAACTTATTAGGGGTGTCCTAGACCACCAGCTTCTGAAGAGGAGGCAAATGTTTTTTTTTTTATTGGAAAACGCAATAATATTAATAAATAACATTGGCCTCCATTTTAGAAAGGGTGAACGGGGTGGTCTAGAATACTCTGTCTACTCTTTGTATCTGGTTTCATACCAGTTGATTGAGGGGGTAGTCTATTTAGTACCAAATGTTGCAAGTTCACCAAAGAGGCTAATCATTAGACCGTAGTAGAAAAAAAAGTTGGACGTACATGCACTATTTTGGTAAGGCAATTTGGACAAAAAAATTAAAAATTTGGGCCGAACGTAGAGATCGCATTTTTTAAATTTTCATCATATCTTCAGCATATTCAGTCAAATCTTAAAGTTGATATATATCAATGTTTCGAGGACAAAATTGTTTTGTTCATTCTAGTACTTACCCACCAGATGTCATTTCATTCCATCCTAACGCAACACCCTAACGTACTAACCCAATGTCAGTAAATAGGTTTGTTCGTCGAGCAAAAAATTTTTACGAATTTGTACGAATTATCACGATTTTTGCCCAAATCGCGTTCGTGCAGACCAAAAAATTATCCAACACTCAAAAATTGTGAGAGCAAAGTGACAGTTCTCTTGGAGAGAAGTTGCAAATTCTTGCTGGAAAAAATTTTGCCAGCAAGAATTTGCAAACACGAAAAACATGTGGTTGTGGCGCATGGTTGCATTTTTGTCTACAATAATTTGAATAAATTAGTTCGTTAAATTTAAAAATTTATAAACACGAGCGATTTTTTTATGAAAAAAGGAAGTAAATAATTGTTGATATAATTAATTTAGTTAATTCCAATGATTTGAACTTAATTCGGCTGAAAAAAATGGTATTCGCAATCGGAATGCAATTGCAACCAGAGTCGATTTAAGAAACCCGACAGCTAGTACGATGAAGAAATTGAAATGTATATTAAAGAAAGTCAGAACAACAAGAAATATACATGTATATCCTGTTTTTGGCCATCCGAAAGAATTTTAAAAATTCTATAAAAATTTTTTATGTTTGAAATGCAACCGTGGACGCCAGCTGGCAGCGAAACTTGCAAATTCCTGCAAATTTGCGTTCGTGCAGAAATTTGCAAGTTTCTCAACATGAGAGAGAATTTGAGAGAATTTTTTCTTACTCTCTGATATTTTGAGTGTTGGATAATTCTTGCTGGATTTTCGACGAACAAACCTAATGTAAGCACTCCAAAAGTCATTAAACTTTTGCTAAGAAAGCAATGTGCGGCGGTTATTTTTTGTCTGCTTCTAAGTTGCTAGGGTATACTACACATGTTTAGTTTTGTCTATTTAACTGTTCCTACTTTTCTTTGTTTCTATAATATAAGCCTAACATAATCATTTTTAGGCACGCCTTGAAAAAATACACACGATGCTAGAGAATAACGTCGCAATGTACCGTCTACAATATCGACATAAACTACGAGATCATTTGGGCGATCGCACTTACATACGTTTACTTGGAAAAGATGATTATAGCGAGTACTTAATCGACGATGATAAAGGGGGAGAATGTATCGAAATGCACCCATGTAAAAAATCAGCTTCTACTGCAACGTTGAAACGTTTTCAAGATGAAAGTGCAAACATTTCAATGCATTCGAATGAATTTAAATCGCTTTACAACGCAGCAAAGTTGTATCCTAAAAATCATCGCCCATCATTTGGCCAAACCGAACATGAATTCAATAATTTATACTATGGGAATCTGGAGACGCCGCCATCATCGCAGCGTTATTTTGTAGCACCAACCAAAGACAAACCGTACCATTTTGATTACCCNTTCAAGATGAAAGTGCAAACATTTCAATGCATTCGAATGAATTTAAATCGCTTTACAACGCAGCAAAGTTGTATCCTAAAAATCATCGCCCATCATTTGGCCAAACCGAACATGAATTCAATAATTTATACTATGGAAATCTGGAGACGCCGCCATCATCGCAGCGTTATTTTGTAGCACCAACCAAAGACAAACCGTACCATTTTGATTACCTAAAAATTTTTCATTACAAAGATAAGGAAGATGAGCGAACATTTATTAAGGAAAAATGCGTTGATGCGCTGGACGAAACACCAAAACATGTACCTAAGATGGTAGATTTTACGCCAGATTTGGGTAAATTATCAAAGAAATGTGCCGATGAAATATGGCAAGAAAAACTCAAAGAATGGAACGTAGCATCTGAAGCGAGTAAGTCCACTGAATTACCACGAGGTGTCACCGATCCCTATCCGGCGGATATGCCGCGCTTACCATTCTATGATTGTGAAGATAAAAAACTAATGGACGATATGTTAAGAATTGCTTTGCATGAAATGAGCAAACATCCAAAATTCGTATTAGCATCTCTGCCAAATGCTCACAAGCTTCCATTGCTACGCGAATGGATATATCAACGTTACGGCAAGCGATACACACATGCACAGCGTGTTGCCGAGTTAAATGATTCAATAAAAATAATGAATACTCTGCTGAAATTAAAATTGCAAACATTACTGCCGGAACCAACTGTAATCGGAGCAAAGTTTAATCAAAATTATGGTTGTCACAAGTACATTATGAAAAAGGCAAGTACTTTCGATTATTTACAATTGTTAAAAAAAAAAATCTTTCGCTACGGCAACTAGAGTAGAATTTTGTTTTGCTACTAAGAGCGTGTGTGAATCGGTAACAAAGTTCGCGACGAANTTATGAAAAAGGCAAGTACTTTCGATTATTTACAATTGTTAAAAAAAAAATCTTTCGCTACGGCAACTAGAGTAGAATTTTGTTTTGCTACTAAGAGCGTGTGTGAATCGGTAACAAAGTTCGCGACGAATAAATTTTTGACAACTATGAGGTGAATAAAGTTTCAGTAGCTCGTGCGGCTAGTGAAATTTTTGACAAATGCATAGAAAATTTTGACAATCGCAAAGATTGTTGATGTGTATAATTTTTCGTTAAATAAAAGCTTAAATTGATGAATTGCAATCAACGATGGTAGATGTTTTCTTAAAATATTAATTTCACGTCAATTTGTAATATTTTATTCCGCATAAATCTGCGGTTATCAAAAATTTACTGCTGTCAAAAAATATTTCATTCCACACAGCAGATTGGCAAAACAGTCCCACCATAGTAAAAATATTATTCAACAGCTTTCCCCATAGAACTTTGTTACCGATTCACACACGCCCTAACAACTAATAAAAGCATAGACAGACGGCAGCATTAATACGGACCAACTCGTTAATTTGGAATTCTCTCAGAAATTAACTGCAGTTTATACCGATAAAGTCCCAGTGTTAATTCTCAAACTTAGCGCAGATCAGTAGCATTTTCGATGACAACACTGACCAAAACGCATTCTACGCATAGAACATGTAAAATTAGCTTGAGCATCTCATCCTCATCAACGGTTACGCATTCACCACATTAATTCAAATGCTATTCCAATTTAAATTGAATAAGAATTCATTTGAAGTAGAATGGTGAATGCACAACCACCCACGAGGTAGATTTCCATGCTAGTGTGGCGAATTGACACCACATATAATTGTGTTTTGTATAATTCTTTAATCCAACTTTATTAATTAAACTAAATTTTGATATCAGAAAGGACACGCGTTGAAACAAGAACGGTTAAAGAATGTTCTAGAAGTCGCTTTTTAGAAAATAATGTCTAGCAAAAAGAATACATAAAATAGCGATGAGCCAAATGTGGTGTTACCACATGGGCCGATTAATGCAGGGTCCCCACACTAGTTTTGCATGCATTTTACGTTCTCTAGGCAAACGAAGCAAGCGATTTTGGTGTACGCGGTAGCCGAGTGGTCAGAATTGTGTACTACAACTCAGTAGCACCCAGGTACGGTCGCTAACCTAGCCATTCTTAAAATACATTTTTGTTCATATTTTTAACCGGCTTCAAAAAAGGAGGAGGTTATCAATTCGTCGGAATATTTTTATTTTTTTCTTTGTTACCGCATAACTTTGGATTACCGATTTCCATAATAGTTTTTTTAAAGGAAAGGTGGTCAGAGTTGGTCCCATACTAATTTAGGTTTAGATCCGAAGAATGGATCATGAAGTACTTAACGATACTGTTAAATCTTTATATGAGAAGTGAATTCCGTTTTTTTTTTTTGCTTATTTTTCTTTGGCGCTGTACGATGCGCAAACTTTTACTAAAGTGTCAAAATTTACATTACCTAAATATACTTAAGTACTTATGCACCTACATACACTCACGGCAAAAAGTATTGGCACAGAATTTTAATTTTTTCCACAAATATTTAATAAAAATATGGTTCATACTACAACAAAAAACATAGAAATATAATTTCTAAGCTTGGTGCTAAACTCAGGAAAATTAAATAAATTGTCATGCAAATTTTCAACTTTTTAATCACATTTTTTTGAGTATGCAGTTTTGTAGAAAATGAAAATCCCGAAATGGGAAGAGAAAGTATTGGTACAAAGCATTTTTTCCACAAATTTTTTATAAAAATATGGTCCATACAAAAAACTATATCTTTATCTATACTTTGTGCAAAACTCAGGAAAATTCAATAAATTTCCAATTTTTTAATCAGATTTTTTAGAATTTTTTTGAGTATGCAGTTTTGTGCATAAAAAATTAATATAAGCTAATGCAAGTTTGAAGTGTCTTAAAGTCTCATTTATTTTTGAGTATTTTGTTTTTGTTGAAAGTGTTTTGCATTTTTTCCATCCAAAGGATTTTCAATAATTTTTTTTTATGGTAGAAAACTCGTGCATAAATTGATAAAAATCAACGATAAGTCTTAGCTACTGCAAACTTGCATTTTCCTGAGTTTTTCACAAGGTTTAGAAATTATATTTTTATGTTTGTTTTTGTTTGCTCATATAGCCATATTTTATAAAAAATGATTGGAAAAAATTAAAATGAAGTTTGGTCACATTGTAAAAATTCTCTGTGCGAATAATTTTTTCTGTTATTCTTCCCATTTCGGGATTTTAATTTTTTTACTATGCCAAAGACATCTAACCTCTTAAATGTTATTTTTTTCACAGGTAAATATAGCCAGAAAACGTTATTATAATCGCGTAAACACAGATCTTATGAGGAAAACGCGCTATTTTTGGTTTGCGATGCGTAGTTTTCTGTGCATGTTACCAGTTCGTGCAACATTCTATGCATATATGCCATCACGAAAAATCGACAACTTTCTCTTTAAACCATGGAGAGTGAAACAATGTATGAATGCTAAAGCAGAATGGGAGAAGCGGCGGTTGAAAAGAAAAATGGAAACGTCAATTTAGGAAACAACTAATAAATACAAATTTATGTTAAAATAAATTTTAATTTGCAAAACAACGGCTATATTTAATTATTTTTTTTTCTTATATTGCAGCTTTATTTTATTAATTTTTTTTGAAAGGAGAGGGGTTGCCGAGTCATCCATGCTCGTCCAACACGTTTTGTACCGTCATTTGTTCATAGCTGAGAACAATTACCTAAAGAAAAGTTGCTGTATATGAGAACCCAAAAAGTTGCTGTGTGTAAACTCCGTCTTAATATTTTTCACCTGCTTGTCCAAATTTATTGGGACCTCCCAAAACTGTCTCATATGTGAAGCAATTAACTGCTTAGTTCCCGCTGTCTGGTAGCCTGTAAGCCTAAGCTTTCCGTTCTTCGTTGCACTGAATTTTCCTGCACCTTTCAGATGCTGTTATTCAGGGATTATTGGATCGCCATTTTATTTCTGTTGATTTTACAACGCTTTTATCAACTCGCAATGTTGTGCGTCCAGAAACTTTAATTAATTTTATTTAAAGAAATGGCGTGTCGTCTATTTCCGCTGTAGCAAACGTAGTACATAGGGCGACATCTAGATGTCATCTACCTCGCCCTATTCACTACAGATGTCGCCCTATGCACTATGCTTTTTTATAGGAGCTTTTCAAAGCAAAGGTTTTATGGTGTCGGACACACAACATTGAAAGTTTCTGGATCCACAACATTG